TCAGCAGCATCAGGAAATACAATCAGAGAAGCAGGTTCAGGTTCAGGTTAACACCCAGGCTGAACCCCAACAGGCAGGAAAAAAGGGGAGAATAAGGAAACAGCCAGAATCTCTGTGCATCAAAGAAGTGCTGGCGTTGAAAACAGAGCAAAACAAATACAATTCCAGGTGACTCGGCACAGACTCTGCCTTGGCGTTCAAATACTGCCAACCTCAGTAACCGAGACAGAGAAAAGATGGGATTAATGCACAGAAATGGCACCTTAGAAGCCAAGGAAGGGCTTACCTCTTTTTTAGAGTGAAGCACTAAGATACTGCTAACTTTTCCAAAGGGCTGGACAATCTTTGTGATATCTTGCTCTGTATAGCCGTCATCTGGTAAGTCCGATATGTGAAGAACTGTGCCACAACTCCAGGCTTTACTCGACAAAAGCTACAAAGCAAAGCAACGTTTCAGTCCCTTACCCGTTCACCTTCTGCCATGGGCACAAAAACAGCTCAGGCGAAACAAGGAATTTAAGAGTCATGCAGCAAAACATTGGGCCAAAGCCTCTTATGTATATCACATCCTTTTGACAACTGACTGAAATGTGTCAGAAATATTAAAAATTAATGAGGTATTTTTAGTGGGTTGTTGTAATTTTTTTTGGGCTATATGGCCTTGTTCTAGAGGCATTCTCTCCTGACGTTTTGCCTGCATCTATGGCAAGCATCCTCAGAGGTTGTTGTTGTTCATTCGTTCAGTCGTCTCCGACTCTTCGTGACCTCATGGACCAGCCCACGCCAGAGCTCCCTGTCGGCCGTTACCACCCCCAGCTCCTTCAAGGTCAGTCCAGTCACTTCAAGGATGCCATCCATCCATCTTGCCCTTGGTCGGCCCCTCTTCCTTTTGCCTTCCACTTTCCCCAGCATAATTGTCTTCTCTAGGCTTTCCTGTCTCCTCATGATGTGGCCAAAGTACTTCAACTTTGTCTCTAGTATCTTTCCCTCCAGTGAGCAGTCGGGCTTTATTTCCTGGAGGATGGACTGGTTGGATCTTCTCGCAGTCCAAGGCACTCTCAGAACTTTCCTCCAACACCACAGCTCAAAAGCATCGATCTTCCTTCGCTCAGCCTTCCCTAAGGTCCAGCTCTCACATCCGTAGGTTACTACAGGGAATACCATGGCTTTGACTAGGCGGATCTTTGTTGCCAGTGTGATGTCTCTACTCTTTACTATTTTATCGAGATTGGACATTGCTCTCCTCCCAAGAAGTAAGCGTCTTCTGATTTCCTGGCTACAGTCTGCATCTGCAGTAATCTTTGCACCTAGAAATACAAAGTCTGTCACGGCCTCCACGGTTTCTCCCTCTATTTTCCAGTTGTCAATCATTCTTGTTGCCATAATCTTGGTTTTTTATCCTCAGAGGTAGTGAGGTGATATTCATACACCTCACTACCTCTGAGGATGCTTGCCATAGATGCAGGCGAAACGTCAGGAGAGGATGCCTCTGGAACATGGCCATATAGCATGAAAAAACATACAACAACCCATAAAGAACTTTTATTTATGTTTTGGAAACCTTGTTCTTGTAAACAGTGTGACCACATTATTTTGCTATAAAGGAAAGCCTCCTATGCAAAAGATAAAGCTTTTGTCGTTTTTATCACTTTGGACTACTGGTGCTGAGTCACGCTGCTGCTGTTGTTACTCTACTGTGCATTTATGTGGAAGGTCTTTTGTTAATAAGCCCACTCACCCAACAAAATGTGTTCAGAAATGGAACTATGTAAAAAGAAGGACCTATCCTTGCCTGGCATGGCTAACAGAAGGCAGAGACTGGCCATTCTCCTGAACGGCCTGCGGATTCGTTGCTGGGATACCTCACGCAAGGTCTTTCCTCTACTGGAAGGGACTCCAGAGCACTTTGCCCCCAAGATGAAGGTTAACCCTAAAAAGCCACTGTGTGCTTTCCTCTGGTTCTCATGTTTGGTTAATTAAATTTTGTAATTTGCACCGGGATTGTGGCGCAGCGGGCTGAGTGTCCACTGCATTAAGATCACTCTGACCAAAAGGTCATGAGTTCGAAGCCAGCCTGGGTTTGAGTGGGTTCCCAACCAATTGTGTGTAGCCTGTTGTCGACCTTTGCAACCTGAAAGACAGTTGCATCTGTCAAGTAGAAAAATTAGGTACCACCTTAAAAAAAAGTGTGGGGAGGCTAAATTAACCGATTTATGAGGCCATAAAAAAGACTCCAGCAAAAGCATTCCAGCGGGGAAGCATGCGGGGAATGCGGAAGCGCTTCATCAGTGTCGCAGATGGACGATGAAAGCGACAGCTCCCCTGGCGGCCAGAAAAAAGTTAAATAGCGTCTGTCTATGTCTGTATGTCAAAAATTGGCATGTATGTGTACACTGTAATCCACCCCGAGTCCCCTGTGGGGTGAGAAGGGTGGAATATAAAAGCTGTAAATAATAATAAATAAATAATTTGGGTCTCTTTTGCCAACGTTTTCTTTTAGGTCTTGCAAGCTGCTCTGAGGACTGGCGAGAGGGCGGGATACAAAACATAAATAACAAAGAAAAAGAAATACCCAACAGCCAGGACCAGGTTGACCCCAAGACTTTGAAGGCTTCTTGTCATTCAAAGGACCTGATGCCTCACGTGGGTGCCGTGCTGCAACAGTGGCCCGAACCCTCTGCCCCAGGAAAGGCTACTGACCCAGTTCTCAGGAACAGGGGAGCTCTTCTTCTCCTTCCTCGGGGCTGCCGTCCCTGCTTTGCTCGGCTCCCCGGCAGCATCCGAGGGCTTTTCTTTAGCATCCGCGGAGGCCGCCTCCGTCTTCAAAGTGCTACTACCGGAGGGTTTCTTCTCTCCTTCTGCTGGCACCCTCTTTTTTCCTGAACTCTCTCGGCTAGAGGTCCGGGAGGACTCGTGCTTGTGTGTCCCCAAGCGTCTCCCCGTGGATCCTGAGGCCCTGTCTGTGAAGGAGGGGGGAGAAAAAACCTACGTAAAGTACTTGGCTCCTTGAAGGAGTTTCTACAACAGGTCAATATTGGCTGCAACAATGGCCAGAGGAAATACCAAAGTCAAAAGGTTACGCATCGCTTGTTGACCTACACCAGTGGTTCTCAACCTACCTAATGTCGTGACCCCTTAATACAATTCCTTATGTTGTGGTGACCCCCAACCATAACATTATTTTTGTAGCTACTTCATAACTGTAATTTTGCCACTGTTATGAACAGTAATGTCAATATCTGATATGCAGGATGGATTTTCATTCACTGGACCAAATTTGGCACAAATACCTGATACACCCAAATTTGAATACTGGTGGGGTTGGAAGAGATTGATGTTGTCATTTGGGACTTGTAGTTGCTGGGATTTATAGTTCACCTACAATCAAAGAGCATTCTGAACCCCACCAACAATGGAATTGAACCCAACCTGGCACACAAAATCCCCATGGCCAACAGAAAGCACTAGAAGGGTTTGGTGGGCATTGACGTTGAGTTTGGGAGTTGTAGTACACCTACACCCATAGAGCACTGTGGACTCTAACAATGATGGATCTGGACCAAACTCTACACGAATATTCAATATGCCCAAATGTGAACACTAGTGGAGTTTGGGGAAAATAGAATCCTGATAATTGGGAGTTGTAGTTGCTGGGATTTATAGTTTATCTCCAATCAAAGAGCATTCTGAACCCCACCAACGATGGAATTGAACCAAACTTGGCACGCAGTTCTCCCATGACCAACAGAAAATACTGGAAGGGTTTGGTGGGCAGTGTCCTTTGGTTTTTGAGTTGTAGTTCACCTACATCTAGATATCAATGATGGATCTGGACCAAACTCTACATCAGGGGTCCTCAAACTAAGGCTGGGGGGGGGGGGGGCAGATACGGCCCTCCAAGGTCATTTACCCGGCCCTCACTCAGGGTCAACCTAAGTCTGAAATGACTTGAAAGCACAAAGCAGCAACAACAACAACAACCCTATCTCATCAGCCAAAAACAGGCCCACACAACCATTGAAATACTAATAAATTTATAAATAAATTTATAGTTGTTAAAATTGTTCTTCATTTTAATTATTGTATTATTTTAAGTGTTTTTTGCACTACAAATAAGATATGTGCAGTGTGCATAGGAATTCATTCCTGTTTTTTTCAAATTATAATCCGGCCCTCCAACAGTTTGAGGGACTGTGACCTGGCCCTCTGTTTACAAAGTCTGAGGATCTCTGTTCTAAAGGAAATAAAAATGAATGCATGGAACGACTCCGCTGGTCCACCCAGCATTCTGCATCTGTCGCCAAAGGATCTGTAGCGTCTGCCTTACCTGCAGAGCGGGACAATGCTTCTAGCTCCTTCCTTGTATCATATCGCCGAAGGTAACTAGAGGTGAAAGTCCATGACCGGACTGGAGACCACGACCGGTCTGGCCGCCTTGGGCTACGGCTGCGCACCCTGCTCCGGCTTGGCATCCTGCTCCGGCTCCGCTCTCTGCTCCGGCTCCTCTTTCGGCTCCGGCTCCGCTCTCTGCTCCGGCTCCTTGGCTTCCCAGCCCTGTAATAGCGGGGGCTCCTGGATCGTGATCGGGTCCGGCGCCTGGCATGGCTGGAACTGGAGCGCCTGGAGCGCTTGGGGCTAGAACCGGAAGTACGTCGCTTGGGAGAGTGGTTCTCCTTCTTGCTGCTTTCATGTCTGATGGGCAGAAAAGGGAGGAGAAGGAAGCCTTCAATGTTTCTCAGATACTAGGAAAATGCTTTTTATGCATGTGTTTGGTGAATGGGGAACTACAGAATGAGACCTCAGTCCAACAAATTGGATTTGGAAAACAATTTGGACATGAGATCATGACTCAGTATTTTATAATAATAGTAGTAATAGTAATAATAATAATAATACTTCATTTGTACGCTGCTACCATCTCCCCAAGGGACTCAGTGTGGCTTACATGAGGCCGAGCCCAAACACAACAATACAGGCAATAATCACAACAATACAGGCAATTAAAATAAAACATAAATGATAAACATATAACATTATCAAAAAGACAACATACAGTTAAAACTGTGGGAAGGCCAAATGTAAAAATTAAAATTGGAAGTAGTGCTGAGGCATGGACGAAAAGGTGATAGTGGCGTTTGTGGAAGACATACGAGCGGACGTAAAAGTATAAAGTGCTTTGGAGGGACAAAGTGCTATGGGATCATTATTCCGGGAAGGCACATTGGAACACTGAATCTGTCTGATTGATTGATATGCGTTTTAATTGCTTAGATTGTTTATATTTTGATGAGATGTGTTTTATTGTTTACCTGTGAAGCACTGAATTTTTGCCAGATTTGTAAGCTGCCTTGAGTCATGGCCTTGGCCCTATAGCCAGAAAAACCTACAACAACCCGATGATTCCAGCTATGAAAGCCTTCAACAATACATTGCCTTGACTCCCCATCGGGGTTGAGAAAGGCAGGGAAGAAATGAAGTAAATAAGTAAATAAATACTACCTTTGCAATTTACACACCCCCCCCCCTTTTTCTAAAAAAAAAAAAAACTGGGAATGAAGGAGTTTGCGCAGGTTTAACATAAAGGTTCATTTTTAAAGTCTAAAACAGGTATGGGCAAACTTCGCCCTTCCTTCCAGGTGTTTAAGACTTCCACAATTCCTAACAGCCAGTAAATAAGGGGTTAAACACTCATTTGGGTGTTATGTGGTCTCTTATTATTATTTATTATTTACAGCTTTTATATTCCGCCCTTCTCCTCACCCCGCAGGGGACTCAGGGCGGATTACGGTGTACACATATACGGCAAACATTCAATGCCAATTTTTGACATACAAACATATACAGACATACACAGAGGCT